TAGTAAGTGCTGCAGTCAACATGAGCTCTAAAGTTGCATTCAGCTGCGAATAGCATTTATAAAAGGCAACGCCAAGGTTGCTTGTTGCATTCAAGGAGCCTAAATGAATGTGCTTTGGTTAAAAAAGGCAGCAATTACTAAAATGAATGCCCTTTCAGTGTAAGAATTTTATCTTTGCCGTTGCCATGGGAACAGGCCCTTTTCTCCCTCCCCTCACACAATGGAACTCCAGGATTTACACACTCTGCAAAAATCTTATTGATATTGGGTTTACATACAGAATAAAAGTTTGATTTATTTTTTAGCACGAAGCTCATAATTATAGCCAAGAAAATCATTTATCCCCAGTCAAAAAGTGTAGAATTTGTCTTCCAGGGCATTTTACATTTTTTTTTTCCAGTTTTTTCCTCGGTTATTATCATTCATTTCACTTTTTATTCTGAACAATGCATGGTCTTTGGCTACTTTATTTTGAATAATATTAAAACCCATTTCCTCTGTCAATTGTTATGTCAGTATTTTTATATGAAACCTATATTAAAAGCAATGGGGTATGTGAGCTACCACCTGACTGGCCAGCAATATGTTTTTCTCCATAGACTGCGTACACTTTCATTAAATAATTACTCACTCTCTCAAAAGGGCTTACAGAGTTTGTTTGAAAAGATACCCCTGTTGTTGTAGCACACTCACACAGCTAAGTCCTTTGATTCCGTATGAAATTTCATTCTCTAACTGTACCTTACCTTTTGCATTAAGTGGATGCTAACCAAAAAAACATTGTCAGCAAAATCCATCAAGTATAACACCATTACTAAAGTACTGATACTGCATGTATCACCACTTTGTGTCAAAAATCCCATGTAATTCAAAGAACCCTTGCCTGGGCCCTTATATTGTCATACTCTGGCATACCTGCCTTTCATTCGGCTGCATTCATACAGTAATTGTCTGAATAAACTGATTATCGGAGTTTGGAAAGGTATCTAACTGGATTGGATTTCTCTGGTGACAAGAAATGATAGCATAAATCCATGGAAGAAATCACTAACTTTTTTGTTGTTATAGAGTTGCTGTTCCTGGATACTGAATGTTTCTTTAATCTGTTTTATCAGAAAAAAGCTACATACGGTAGCCGTTTTGTTATTTTTAGCTACAGCTCCACGTTACCAAAGTAAGAGGCTATGTCTATACCTCCAGCTGTGTCTAGAGGCTAAAACCACCTCCTTAAGTATTTTCTATTTAATAAGGATGACCGTGTTTTTCTACAGTGCTACAAATCTAAAGCGCGGACAGATTGTTCTTTAGAAATAAACTGGAGAAAATGTCTGAAGATTTTTTTGCCACGCTTCCTTCGGGGTTGGGATTTTTACTCGCTTTGCAGTGTAAGCTCCTGGTGCGTTTTCATCGGTACCTTTTGATTATGTGATGTAACAACCAGTGAAGGAGCAGGCGGCAGGCATCATGTAACTGTCTCCTCATATGCGGTGAGAAACCAGGGAGTGGGTTTGGAGTGAGGATGTGCTGGAATGGCCATAGCTGTATATAATTATCACAGGAGAGGGTGGAATCAGAAGAGTCACCTTGGCAAGGTCAACAACAGTGCCTTCTAATACAGTCGCTCGGTATTCCCTGTACAGCATTTTATATCCAACACTGGTTTGTACATTAGTTAAACAGAAAACATATGCTGTACTACTCATAAAACATTTAACTATAGCAGTCTCCTTCTAATTTTTGTAGAGCTTGCTCCACACAAATTGCCCCAAGGACATGCATCAGTATTTGTATAAAATACACATTAGAGCCAGTGTTGCTCGCTGCAGTCATGCAGCTTGTCGGCAGGTTTAGTGGGGCTTTGTTCTAGTTATGGTACTCCAAGTCTGATCTGAATATTGTGTGCTCATAAATCTTGGGTACTTTCATGTCTCAGGTACCATGTCGTGCAAGTTTGTCCGCCGACTGGCATACTGGAATGACCGCATTTTCTTTCAGTCTGACCGGTTTCTGTCAAGGTTTAAAGTATTGAAAAATCGGCAGCAAAATCTACGCTGTTTCTGCAAACAGCTGGGAATTGAATAAAGGCCTTTGGAAAATGCTGCTGCTTATGATACAGGGCAGCACAAACGCCTTTCGGTCTTGCATTAGAGGCATATAAAACAAGCTTGGATTAGGGCAGAAATCACTTAGCTAAGCCCTTGCTGCTGGAGCCAGGGATGCAGCATAAACTACAAGTGTGCCCATTGTTTTGATTCTCTGGTAATGTGCTTCATATACATACAGATTTTCAATAGGCAGAGCTGCAAATGAGGTAGTAGAGGGGCTCCTTGCTGACAGAGGAAAATAAGAATGGAAGAAAACCATGAGAGATCATTACATTCATAATCTTTGTTAGTCTGTTGTTTTAAGAACCAAAGGACATTGGAAAGAAGTGCTTCGTATGCGTAATTCTAAGTCTCCCTGCACTCTGTTTTCTAGCCTCCCTCTGATGTTGGTCTCCATAAAAACTGATATGTTTTTACAGAAAATAAACATATTGCTGATATAGTTTAAGTAGATAGCTGTGTCAGCATGCATAGACTGCAAAGGAACAAGTTAAAGGTTTATTCCATGTTGAAAAGAGAAGAAAGGAAACACCACTTTTCGGCTGTGGAGCCTTCTTGCTGATATGTTTTTGTTTAAGGAGACGTTCATCAATTGTACACTGTTGTTTTCACTGCTGTGGTTCCAATTCTGTGGTCTTCTCCATCATTTATAATAATTATGTACATATACAAATGTACGCATAAGCGTAGCAAGGGCTTGCTTCCCTTTGGTGCCTGGCTTACAGCAGTCCTGTTCACGTGGCTTACAGAGGACTTTTCCTAAAGCTCTAGTGGTAGAGTTCCTCAGTGGTCCATAGTTAGGGGAAGGCCTCCATATTTTAATCTACAGGAAAAAAGCAGTTTCTCCTGGGCAACTTGATATGTCTTTCTGACCATTTTTGAATTACTGTTAATATTAAAAATTATAAAACGGAGTTTGTCCTCCCAAATTATTAAATGCTCAACTGAGAAGTTGAAAAAAAAAGGGGTCTGAATCAAGGAACGAGACAGCTCATAGCCCCATTCCTTCTGTATATCACTTGACCTGTAGTGTATACATACTCGTTTATCAGCATTTTTGGCATGATAACCTCTCGCGCAAAAGAACACGATCTTCTTCCCGTCTCCTTCAGATACGCACTTTGGAGCACATATCCTTTCCTCCCACAGAAGTCGTGGAACGATTTAATTAAATACATTTTCTCCTCAGGTATGCTGCCAGCCGGGAGGCCTAGCTTTCCTCAAACTATAAAGTGGCTTCCAGCTGAACAGCAATATCTACTGCCAGTGATAAAAATAACACCTTCAAAACGGGATTGCTGTTTAAAAAGGCCTGGAGTTTACATCAAGTCTTGTTTGACAAGTTATGAAAAGGAATGCGCAGATGGTGTAGGAAGATTTCATTTTCGGGAATCAAATTGAGACTGGAATCCTGTTGTGTATTCCAGAGACACTTATCATGTATTTAAGGAAAATAAATGTAATAATTCATATACATATACTGAGTATGTGTTCAAGTAGCTGAAGTGCTAGAGGAAGATATTATGATAATATTTTTTCACCTGTGGTCTTTTGTGCTCGTTTGTTTTTGGTAACAGATCATTTTATGACCTACTTTTTAGTAATTTGAAATAAGAGTCAGAAAATCTCTGTGGCTTCTCCATGTGTAGACATTTCACTTTGGATGTCCAATGAAATAATAACGTCAATTTTAAGGTGTCATTGTAGAGCCTGGCACATGGCCTGAATTTCTGGTGGTCAGAGTGAGGACCTGTGTCAGCATGCACGTTGCAAGGAAACAGGCAGAGGTTGTGCTGTAAAAATGCAAGCTTTGTAGAATTCCAAAATTTGTAAAATACCTTCTCTAAGATAATTAAGCCAATAATTCAACAAGATTTGGAAATGTTTGTAAAAAATCTTCTGTAAGACAGGTTAATGATGATAATATGTTATAGAGGCAGTGAAAGTAAGAGTCACTTTTCACAAAGAACTTTGGTCGACATGCTGTTGTTTTAGTAACATGGTGTGTCTGATGTGGAAAAAAATGTTCCAAGGCTGAGGTAGTTCTTACTGAAGAGCTGACAACCCAGCAATAGCAGTCCTATTAATTTCCTAAGTGCAGGGCACAAAGTAGCAACTTCTGTCTTTTGAAGTGTAGCCTGCAGCCGTTAAAGGATGCTGGGCTACTTTGCTGATTATTTCTTAGTTATTTTTTTCTTGTTTTGGCTTATATTGTATCTCAAACTAAGCAGATAAACATCAGAACATTCACGAACAAGAGGAGACCATTTGAACCTTTTAGTTTTTTTCTAGTCACTAATTACTTGGATCTAATCCCACCATTTTGTGAAAGAAACCAGAAAAAGGGTATTCACTTCTATGGAATTCATTAAGCAGAAATTCATAAAATGAGGGTTTAAGAACACTATATATATCCATCAACTTCATAACCACTTTATCCAGTACAAGGTTGTGGGGGAGCTGGAGCCTAACCTGGCAAGCAACAGGCATAAGGCGGGATACACCCTAGACAGGACGCCAGTCCATTGCAGAGCACACACAGACACAAACACAAACACGCACGCACTCACAACAGGGCCAGTTTTCCCAGAAGCCAATGAATCTACCAGTATGTCTTTAGACTGTGGGAGGAAACTGGAGCAGCTGGAGGAAATCCATGGGAACCCAGGAAGAGCATACAGACTCCCCTCAGATAGCATCCCTGGGGCCCAGCACTAAAAGGCAGCAATGCTAACCACAGGAAGGAAATATTTTTCATTAATATATCATCATATGACAGCTGGTTTTATAATATTAGTAAGTAATAGCAAGTCTTGCATCAAATGGTTTTCAAACTTAATCGCAATCCTTCTGGAGGACATGGCCTGTTGAACTGCTTGTGTTTGTCCTCCACAGATGTTGGGAACTATCACAGCCGTGCCCATCAAGGTGCCTCAGGTCAGCTCGCTGCACCGGCTGGCTGGACAGGCTCCCACAGTGCTACCTCAGGTAGGTACAAACCTTTCAATACAACCCGCATTCACGCGGACAACCCCTGCAATGAGGTGGTGACACTTTAACACAAGTGTCTACACCCCCCCCCCCCCCCCAGGTTTTCGTGCCATTCTCTGGCTGTTTGCTTTGCCTTCCAAGTCTTAACATTAGCATGTGAACTCCTGCACTCTTTGCCAGCCAGTATTGTGTGCCTGACCGGTGACTTTATGGTTACTACCCCCCTCTCAAGAATTCAAAAAGACAAAGGCGGGTAGAGGAGCAGGGAACTCTGGGAATCCTGGGCCCTTTTAGGAATTGAAAGAACAACAATTTAATATATTGTTCTGTGAAGGCAGATGGGTGAGGGTAATCCCTCTTCAGGAGACCGGGAAGAGAATCACGAGTCCTGGTGACAGAGGTGAAACGATCATCAGGCCTTTATTTCAGCTGTAGTTAAGGCATCATACAGCAGCACGAGAGGAAAAGTTTACTCTCCTTTTTCTTTCTCTGCCCACTACCCTGGCAGAGCTCTCTCTATAGACAGATAACAGAAGTTACAGTTCTCATTCCCACACAGCCCCTCTCCCAGCAGCTGTTTGACTTTCCTGTCTCACCTTTCTGTTATCAAAAACTGTTTGCAGCTACCTGCAGTCTGTGCATTATCAGACTCACAAGGACATGTTCACAAAAGAAGCGTTTTAAACATAATCACCTTTTTACAGACGTGTGGACATCGGTGCTTCAAGTACGGGCAAAGGTTTCAAGTGTAATAATTGCCATAATTTTCAGATGATCAAGGTGTTATATAAAACATATACAGAAACAATCCTTCATCTGCAGGCATTGCTTAAACACACATTCAATGTCAAAGCATTCTATGAACTATCTTTCGAACTATGAACTATCTTTCTGATAGTTCATAGTTTATTCTGTATCTGAACCAGCACCTTGCTAAACATTAAATTTGTTTTTAAACAAAGTAATTTTAAGTTCCAGTGCCTTCATCATTCATGTAGTGTTTTCATTATGTGCAGTCCTATTTGGGCCCAGATTTCGGTGTCTGTGGCTCCAGTTTTGAAAGCCCTTTTGGTTTCAGCATTACAAAAGCCAGCTGAGAGTGAACTTTATGTATTTAATAAGTGGTTCAGATTTTAACACCCATGTTTTTACTTGGATACAACAGGATTGGGCTGAAATGCTTACAGTTACATACTGTAACACAGAAGTGATAACTGTTGGTAAAATGGACTAATAGCTGCCATCTACCACTTTATCGGGGCTCTGCTAATTCCACTAGAAACATAACACCTCCTTCCCCCAACCTGGAGGCAAACTGGCCTCCAAGAGGAATTGCTTCTTTGTCAAACAGAGTGTTAACTCAGTTTAGTGTTTGCAGATAAGGCCCCAGAGTATAGTCGTCATATCATATCACAAAAGCAGAACAGACATGACTCAAGGGTCTGACTTGATGGAGGCTGTGATATTAAAAGGCAAAGGTCAGGCCAAGCTCGTAGTGTGCCGGTCAAGCTACAAGAAGAAACCGTACTGTCCAGTTTCCTTCTGTCCCACTTTTTGATAGCTCTGACAAGAAGTATACTATAAATTCAGTGCAGAAGACCTCGAACAAAGGGAGTGGTAACCTAGCCCCCTCCTTCCTCCACTCATATCTTTCCCTGGACACTTAAGCCCCCCTCCCCCGCCAGGATCCAGTGACGCCACTAGCTCAGAGCCAGAAGCATCGGATTGCACCCTAATGCACTCTTATGTGGTGAACAGAGGAAGTGAACCATGATGGAGGGCTGAATTTTAGGATGACTGAGCTTAAAGGTGATGTTCCCCTGGTATTAAAATCAATTACCCAATCGCTTCAGAGTCTTACTTGCCACTCCCTTAACTGCTGTACAGTTCCTTTATCCATTACTTAATTTTTACTGTGTAAACCTGGCGTCTCATTCTGAGTGACTATTCTGAAATGTAAGTAAAAGTCAATGAACACACTTCTTAACCGTGTAAATATGCAGTAGCTCTGCTAAAGTCTTGTTTTCTCTACTTTCATCTGGTACCAAGTCTTTCATGCAGTGTTTTAATAGTGTATGGTTCTATATGGGCCTGGACTTCAGTGTCTGTTGGTCCTGTTTTAAAAACACTCATAGATTTGAATTCTAACTAATTGTGTCCGTGCAGGAAATATGATATTATGCTAGACATTTAAGTAGGAGGCAGCTTCAAATACAAAAGAATTGCTCATGACTGGAGGAGATGGGAGAATTTACCTGTCTCCCTGTGAATTTCTATTGTATATTAAATATTTTCAGGTGTCAAAGTAAGGCTTACACAACCTTTGTACAAGTAGCCCATCTTATTTTGAATACATGATTGCCATTTGAGGGAACACATTTCTGTGTAGTCCAATTCATTTCAAAATATGTTTCACATTACTTGCACTACATTATTAGTACAACAAGCCCTTTTTATGTCAGATTCAATATAGAGGGATTGTAAGTACATTATTTTATTTCATTAATATGAAAAACATTATATTTTTTAGATACTGTATAAAAAGTATCTGATGATCTATCAAGGTATAATGTGGAAGTACAGAATCAGTTTCACAGTGTTGTATTATTCAGCAGTTTGTAAAATCTGAATTCTTTAATCCTAAAATAACCCTGTGTCTGCTGGATTGAAAACATACCATCTGACAAAATCATTTTTGTGTTGATGTGTTTTCATGGGCGCTTTCAAACTACTGAAATTCCTGCACTGCATTTCATTTAATGACCTCAAATTCTAAGATGAGTGTGTGCAGTTCTTATTTCAAACACTGGATGGCACCCTACACCTTTACAAGCACCACACCTCAACAGCAGTAGCTCGTCAGAGTGCAGAAAGCATGTCTGAAATTAACATTTCACAGCTTTTTTCACACTTTAAATAAAACATGAAATAAAAATTAATCCCTCTATATAGATACATTAGATGAAAAATTCTTAAAATAACTATATAAATCATCTGTATAATAATATTCTTAAAGACTATTCAAAAGTGCTTTATTTCTTAATTGTTTAGTACATTTATGTTTGGACATAGTGCCAGCTGGGGTGATTTTTCACTATTAAATGTTTTTTATTTATTATTTGACTGTTTTTTTAAAATAATTTTCATGGGCCATTTGTCTCCCCATAATATTCCAGGTAATAAAGTGGACTTGATGACGTTAGACTTAGATATGTGTGGGCTTGACTGTTTTCCCCAGGTTAGGCCAAAGACCCTGATCCCGGACAGCCTTCCCCACAGCCCCTGCCAAGAGCAGATGTCCAGCCAGCCGCAGAGCCTCCAGAAAGCTACAGTGGTCAGCATCAAGAACCCTGGGCCCGCCCTCCCGACAGCGAACAACACCGTCAGTCATGTCCAGCTGCCAAATGGCCAGTCGGCCACCCCGGGCCTCCAGGAGCCCCCGACCGTCTCCACAGCCATCAGCACGGCGGGTGTCGCTTACGCCATTATCTCCACTTCGCCCAGCAACAGCTCTGGCAGCGCGGTGTCTGTGGTCAACGAGGCCATCAAAGTGCAGCCGCTGCTCATCAGTGCAGATAGCAAGGTGGGTCCCCTGCCTGTGCCGCTCTGACAGGCTCGCAGATACTCCCTTTGTTCTCATCTCCGCAGTCTTGGCAGTCAGGGCCTGAATATTTATATCAGAGTCAGTTGTTCCTCAGTGGTTTGATAGTCTGTGCATGGACTACATTTTGGGTGACAATATTTCATGATTTATTAGGTTTGATAAGGAACTCACATTTCGGCGACTCGTGTGTCATGGCTTCTACGTTATAAGTCATGGAGCTGCACTTAAGGGTTCAAATTTGGTCATTTTTAAATGTACACTGTATCAGTACTAAAACTTCCATAAATTGCTAGAAAGGTAAGGAAAAAGGCCAGGTATGACTCTAACCTAAAAATTCCAAAAAGAACAGGTTCAAAATCTAAATACGAGTGTTGTTCCGTGTGGGTCAACCGGTTCAGGTGGTCATCTCAGCGTGGGTTGAGGTCTGTGATCCTGACATTGCGGGTTGAGACTGGGTCCTGTCACTAGCTGACTGTGACCAGGATGCTCCAAGTCGTGGAGCAGTACTGGCTGAGCGCTGCTGAGGCTGGGGTGGGAATAGTCAGCTGGGACTCACCCGGTTCTCTGACACGGTGAACCTGCACATGTGACATGTGGTGTTGTTAGTGAGGAATTAACTTCTCCTCCAATTGGAGCAGAGCCTCCGGCTGTAATATTTTATTAAATCAGTGGCTCAAAAGTGGCTGTGTCAGAGGAGTCCGTCTGTACAGTACCTCCTCATTCTCCCCTGTGTGCGGTCTCAGGCTTCATATCCCTGAGTGAAGATGTGAAAAACACAATTGGAGGGCTCTAATTGAAAGGGTATAACAATATATAATTCGCTGGTTTTAAATTAAAAAGACTAACATATACCTGTAGGAAAAATGCAAGGAAATAAAAAACGTGTACAATTCAGATCTGAGTATGTCTAGGTTAGAAGGTTTGAAATTTAAACACTGCATCCACTAGCCCTAAAATTTTGTAATCAAAACTTGATAGAGTAACATGACCCTAAAACTGGGAAAATTTCAGGTTTGTACAGTACCTTGCTTGATTTTAAAATCACTTGTTGATTGACAATAAACCAAATACCTAATCTGTCTGTAACACTGCCTCTCCCCCCCATCTGTGGTGTTATGTCATTGCCCTGTCAGGTGATAATAATTCAGCCCCAGGTTCAGTCGGGCCCTCAAAAACAGCCAGAACCAAAGGCTGAGGCTCCATCCCAAGAACCTGTATTGACATCGCCTGCTCCTGTTAAAAAGAAGAGAGAAGAGGATCCTGAGGTAAATAGGTGCTGAGCACCTTTGTTGTTAATTATCCCACTGCTGGGATTGTAGTCTCTCAGCCCCTTTCCACTGACAGTATAAGAATCAGCATTAGAAAGTGGAAAATTTCTCTTTTGAATGTCCTTCTGTTTCGTATGTCCTTTCTTTCTCTGAATTAGCAGTAGCATGAAAGTAAGAACTAAATGTGGACTAGACAATTTTATCATCCTTGCAACACACACTAATGAATTATTTGTATGTAATATTACATAGAAACCCCCATATCCCACTAATTAAAAAAAAAAATGCTGTCATGTAAAATTATGTATTATGCAATGCTAATGAAAATCTTTATCAGGCTAACAGCTACGGCGGTTAGATGTCTCTCTGAGCCATCTCATCATAATCATTTAACTGATCCCATTATCCTGCTAGCTAATCCCTGTTTATCCCATCTCATCCTCAACTTTCACCCTCCTTTTCCTTATTTGAGCAACTGACAAATGCTATCCCTTGTGTTAAGGTCCCAGAAATCCATTTATCAATTATATCAAAAAGTCTTTTTTAGCAGCACACAGACTCACCTCTCCAAAAGAAAATTCAAAGCTCGAGCTTTTCTGTTTTTCAGTAATTGAACAGTATAAAGGAAAAACAGGAAACACACAGATGAGGCAAGAGCCCTAACTGCACTTTTACTACACAGCTTAAACTAATATCTTTCCTATTCTTTTAATATGTGTGTTAACCCCACCTCCAGCTGCCTTTGTGGGGTCATGTGAAGTAAACTGCTTCACTACCTAGCCCAGCTCATACTCTGGCCTGATCGCATTTTGTTCACACATACAGAGGTTCTGCTTGTTAGTACAGTCTCTTTAGAGAATTCGGGATTTTCTGATTTGAATCCCTTTTACAGTATGTACAAAGAGAGGGTGAAATACTCATACCAGTGTTATAAAATGCAAAACAACTGTCATAGAAATAATAAGGTAAAAAAGTGCTCACTTGTAGTCTTATTTAAAAGCATGTACCTTCATAAACTACACTGTGTGAAGTTATTTATTCAGTCTCTCCTAAAGCTCAACTTTTCAAGCAAAGCTGTCTCCATGCAAAGATCTGTCTCAAAAGATCTAGGTGGCCTGTAGTGTCATCACTGCAATAAAAAGAAAAAAGGAATTAATGAAAAACCCCAGACTGTTTTAGTATGTTAGGGCCATATTGAAGGTACCTGTTTTTACACCTAATGATCACTGTCTCATATTTAACCAAATTGGAATTTTGACAGCCTTTTACAGCTGTCACATTGTTATAGTTTTAAGGCTTGTTTCTTCCCTTACTGATCTTATCCCTTCTGGTTATTTCATTTCCCTCAGAAAATTGCCTTCATGGTGGCCCTTGGCTTGGTAACAACAGAGCACTTGGAAGGTGAGTTCTCACTCGGTGAGTTGCGGTGAAGAGACAGACTTCAGTCAAACCCGAGAGATCCAGCATCTCGCTAAACAAAGATGAAGGACAGCTGTCCGTGACTTACGGGATTCAGCTAGGTTTACTTGTTTCACAGCTTCATTGCTAAAAAAACAGTTTAATCAATAATTAGTGAGCAGAGGTTGATATCGGTGCTTAATTTGTACATGACTAGGTGATGGAGGTCAGTGTGTATGGCGTACTTAAGTGCAAAACTATGACACACACACCGTCTTAACACATTTGAAGCCACTGTTGTCGATAACAAGCTAAAAAGGTTGACCAAACAACATTTTGATTTAGTCATTTTAATACCACGATCAAATGCGATTAGGCGTGCTCTATTATTGAAACACGTCTAGTCGGATGGACCTGTTGTCTGATCTGCAGGATTTCCAAATCTGACGGTATGACCCCCATTAACGTTTATTTTGGTGATCAAATTAGCATCTTCTTTATTGTTTTCCAAGCAGGCCCATAACACTGATAGGGCACTTCGTGGATCCAAGTACGAGCCCTTAACTAGCATTCGCCAGATTTTAGGAAGGCAGCGTACCTCCTGTACCTTCTCAAAACATATCCTCTCAAACACTTTTCTCCTGATTCCTGAGGAAATGTGTTGTTAAATGTTTGAGCAACATTAGAATGCAAAACCGGTCTCCTGTCATTCCTATTCTATTGCTGACAGGGTGTGCACAGAGCAGTAAAGTGCAAGGCTCCACGTCTTGTTCCATTTTTTTATGCTGTTTTTAAGATGTTCTATAATAGCAAGATTTTTCCTTCCAACTGTAAATAAGGAATTCATGCAGTAAAACAGTGAGCACCTCCAAAATGGTTCTTAAATGGCAAATGTACATGTTAAATTTTTCATGTCACAGAGAGGTACTCGTCCAATTGTGAAGTACTGGGAGCTCCGGCCCAGATTATCCACAGGTTTAGATGTTCTTAAGATTGCTCAGGGTTCAGACTACAAGGCAGTTACCAAGAGTTGTTTCTGCAATCTAGTTAAGATTGTTTGCACATACAAATGAATCTGTCACTGCAGATATCCTGCAGAATGTAACACTAAGTGACTTATTCCCATGGCCACAGAAATCCAGAGCAAACGTCAAGAAAGGAAGAGACGAAGCACAGCCAATCCAGCATACAGTGGACTGTTTGAGCCAGAGGTAAGATGGAGAGCAACTTGTGGAATTGGCTGCAGCTGTAGTCAGGCTTGAAATTGCTTCCTTACTAAATGAAAGATGAATCCTGTGATTGCGTCCTCTGTTTTCACAAGGACTTTCAAAGCCGTGACTTGAGTTGTTTGAGGCATTTTATTACACCTGGTGTAAGAAAAATAATGTTTTCTTGAAGACTACACTTTGAATAGAAAATAGGAAAACAGAGTATTAAAATTCTGAATACACTTTATTTGATGTAACCATGAAAAACTAGCTTGCAAAAAATTGAAATACAGTTGCCTGGATATCTGTTGAGTAAACGTGGCATACCAGTATTTAAATTTGGTAGCTACGTGTCATTTATATCTCTAAATAAATCACCAAATAATATACAGAACTGAGTAATAGCTGATTATCTGAAAGCACTTATCATATCTTCTTCTTTTGCTTTTCAGCGCAAACGACTTGCATCAAATTACCTAAATCATCCACTTTTCCTGACAGCAAGAGGTAAACCAGTTTGTTATGATTTAACATAATTAGAGCTGAGCACAACAGGCAGGACAGTGTGTTATTGAAAATTAATAGAGCCTCTCTGGAGAAAGGTTTTTACCAAAATCACATCCATTCATCCATCCATTTTCAGCAAGGGTTTCATTCTTGGAAGGTCAGCCTGAGCCGAGTCAGGACTACACCCTGGCTTCCCTGTGTCTTCGGGTTTTTGTGCCAGATGAGCTGTAAATCTCTTAAGAAAATAGATGACATCAATTGATCTGTTGCTCTTTGTAGTGGTTTCTGCACTAGGCCCCCAGTTTCAAAAACTTTTCAGGAGTACAGCTTCAGGACAAATCATTTTTAAGGTTCCTCATCCTGATTTGAAGAGGTTGCTGCCTCCTTTCAGACTAATAGGTCTTAATAGGTGATCAGTTTATGACTGATACAGGTGAGAATGACAAAGAAACAAACACCCCCAATTCCCCAACTCCCAAGCTAGTGAAAGAGATTACGTCTTCACGAGCTCAGGAGAAATGCCTTGGTTGTTTTACTGCCCAGTTTGTGGATAGTTCATCATGTGTCATGTGTCTTGTGGCCCTTGGCTGCCCTTTTTTTCAGTAGCTCAAATGTTTTACAGCATACTACCATCACATTAATATAACCAGCATGAGCAAAACATTTATTTAAGCTGTGTTAATACCAGAGAATTTACCAAAGCTTTACTTAACAATGAACACCACAGTGCCTCAAGGTTTATTTCCCACCAAACATACATACAACAAGATGTGTTTAAACGAGGAATGCAAAATGTAGACGGACTGAGGAATATTTTCTTTGTTTATACTAATGGACATCTTTACTATCTAGCCTGAATTGATCACCATGGTCACTTAAAAAATGATGCATGAGAGAACGAAAATGACCTCCAGACTTTTTAAAACAAAACCAAATGCATTTTTTGGAAAGATTAAGTATGTTTTGAACCCATGGCTACCAAATTCAACACATCATACTGTATATTGTGAGGCTTCTAAAAATCAGTCTCATGCCTAATTGGTCCTAGTGCATGGCTATTACTTACCCATAGCTCTGTTCCCTTTGAACAGCTTCCTAATGTCGGCTACTAACATGTTCTCTGCTTCCTGTTTGCATGCTAGCCAATGAGGACCTGTGTTGGAAGGTATGTTCAGTGTTTTTAGTCCTTGTTCAAGGCATTATTTGTGAGCTGCCATGGGAGTTATCCTGTGGTGGTGCATGTTTTGCAGTATAAATGGAGGAAAGTGACCAGATAAATCACAGTTTAGATGTGACTAAAATCATTATTGAATGGTTGCACAGTTGAAACTGAAAATAACTGGCAGCTAATTAGGGTTTTATTTACCAGGTAAATTTGAAAATGGATAAAGAGCTGTTCAGTCCCTAAGAAATGATAGATTTGATGTTTTTGATCAGGGGGTTGTTAATGTATTCTTTCACACTATTGTAGCAGTGATCACTGAGTGAGATTCAGCTGCATTTCCATTATTGTGCTAAACTTATTAAGAGCAATGTTTATGCCATGATTGTGTTCATTGGGTAGCACAATTATCTGGTTTAAAAATTAAATTAATGCTAATTAGCTGCACTTTTACCTAAGGTTTACCTAACTGGAATGTTCTAATTTTGGCTAATTTTTAATTTAATTTTTTAACCGTTTGGATATCGATACTTTCCTCAAAGACAGATTTTGTGCCAGTACTACAAATGCTATTCTGAGGTCTATGTGCTCTTTTTAGATTGAAAATAGTCCAAATGAAATTCTCAAATACACTGCTACCATCAGTATGAGTCAGTGGTTTCCTCAAATAAAAGAGACGCTCATTGTGAAAAGCGCCCCTCCCTCCGACCTTAATCTGCTGTTGCTTGGTTTCCACTTGTAGGCCCAACATACCGTTATATAATAAGACATCTTTGCTATATTTAACTCTTAAGAATTTGGAAGAACAACACAACCTTGCCCTAAAGTAAAAGTATATTTTTTTCCTTCTGTGGGCTGATCAAAACTGTTTTTCTTACATACTTTTTAAAGTTTATAGATTGAATATTTGTTATTTTTTGGCTCCCTTCTCCATCAGAACTTGAGAACTTGTTTGTCAGGGACCATTTTGAAAGGCAACTCTTTTGAAGTGTCGCATCTTAAGGCACTTATTTCAAATGAGTGCTGTAATTAGTTCTGCATTTTTTCAATTTCACAATATGTTGTGTCACCAGAATCTAATTATTTTTATTCACTTTTAATATTTTTTTGTAATAGATAAATGTACATACAGCAGGCAGAAATGCATGATGTGCTGTCGGTTTCATACCTCAAAAGGCTTATGAATCCATGGGCATTGCTGACGATGTTTTAACATATTCACATGATCACTATATGTTAAATAGGATATATAGCTGAAAATACAAACCTCAGTTCTTATTCTTTATAATTTATTTGCTAGTTTTGATCTTAGTTGTAAAAGAAGGTACGTGTTTAATGTAACATAATGTTAGTGTGTGTGATGACAGTGATACGATACATACTGTACTTGAAAAGATACTTTTGTGAGTCACAGCAAAAAGTCTTTCCTTCCTGCTCAAATAATCTGTTTTGCTCTTAGAAGGGATTCTTCTTCAGTACCAGCCAAGTAGATGAAGACAAGTGACCAAAACAAAAATAAGTTTGCACTAGCCGAGGACTGAATCACAGCATGAAACCTCAGTACGAGCATGTCTGTACACTCGGCAGGAGTCCTGGTTTCTGAGTGTGTGTGTGTTTGCTGTACTCGTTCAGGATGACATCGTACACGATGAGCACTGTGCTGTATGCAAGGAAAGAGGAGAGTTACAGCGGTGTCACAGCTGTCCCCGGGCCTATCACCCTGACTGCCTCGACACCCCACTAAAGACCCCCCCCAAGGGAGTGTGGGTGTGCCCAAAGTGCCACAAGAAGGTAAGTGAGCTCAAAAGGCATGAGCCCAGAAACTGCTGTGCTGGTGTGGTACAGCACGCTGCCTGTGTATCATCACGCCATCTTCATCCTGCAAGCGAACTTCAGGCCATTAAACAATTTGTCCTTTTAGGATTACTTATTATTGGCAAGTAGTTCACACGCAAAAAAAGGAACAAACACCATCTAATTTCAAAAACAGGAATGACTGGAAATGGAAGTGAAAAGGAGTTTGGTTTAGGAAACAGGGAATCCCTCAGTTAAAATTAGATTATGGAGGCCCTAGCAGAGCCTATTGCTTCCTGCCTATGGCTCTTCCCATAGCAATAATGACCACAAGCCTGCTGTATGTACTGTAGTTCCTGGTCACTATAACATATTCCAGCTCCTCATAACAACTCTTTAAGATGCTATTACCCAGCAAGCACTATTCCTCCTAACCAAGAGTCGAGGACAATTATGCACAAAAATGAGATGAACAGACTAGTCAGTATAAATTTCCCAAAACATTTAATGATAGGTCAGTTCCCAGCTGTGTACAGTATGTAAATCCCATTTGTCTCTTTCTTAGTATTATGTATTTTCTTTTGACAAAATTAAAGTAATTATATAGAAAATAAAAGTGAAATAATGTTGTCAGCTGTTTTGCAAGATTGTTATTTAAAACTCATTTAGCATCAGCTAGACTCTTTTATTAATTTTTCTTTTTCTTTTATAAGGTTGCTAGTTTAAGTTTTCAATAAAGTATTGTCAAACAAAAATGTTGCATAGCACCCTTGATAATGAAACACAATATTACATGTCTGTTATTTTAAAATGAACTTTTTAAAGGGGAGAAAGATGTGCAGTAACCTTTTTAATATGTTTAATATATGGGATTATTAAGTATATTTAATTTATTGTCAAAACAATGATTAAATAAAGTGTTTCTAAATTTTGCATATTCTTCACATTTGTATTTAAATACTCTGAATAAAGGCAGCTACCATATTATTCTTGATGATATCAGATTGTGAATAATAAAGCTTTTTATTTAAAGTGATTTATGTTGTTAAAGAGATCAAATTAGTAAAACAAATTGTATATGTGTCAAATTTATTTGAGTCTTTATTATTCAAATCAACATAAACCAAGCAATTTACGATTTTAAAATTAAGGAACATATATAAGTGTTTAGAAAAATGTATTATCATATCCCCCGTTAAACAAATTCCCCCTTTACTCCAGTGTTATGGTATAGTGTTGTGTGCTCAGCCCTGGCTGAAATAAAATCATACATTTTGGCATTGCAGGTTGGTAGAAAAAAATATTTTCCTTGTAAGAAGAATCTGTAGAGCAATACAAGACTGTTCACAACTTGTTATGTACACATGAAGTTTTTTTCTTTTCCAGGTACTAAACAAAGACAGCATGTCCTGGCCTCAGAACTTGGCTGTTGTCCAGTCTTACATAACACACAAAACAGGTATGCCTTGGTGAAAAATGGCAGGTCTACAGCTGTCTACAGCTACTCGTGACTCAGAAGCCATTTTGGCCACATACTGAACAAAACAAGGTTTTTACGGCAAAGTAAAGAACAGTCAAATATCTACCGTTCTAAAGTTTGACCACTTGCTGAGAGACCCAAAGAGCCTCCTAGCTGGTCTTACTACAGCATAGACAGCCTCTACCATGGATCTGGCTCAACCAGGAGAGAGGAGTGGAAAACAATCATCATCACATGAGTTACTGGGAACAAAAACAGACTAAGGTGACTCTAAATAGCTGATGTGCCTGTAAGCTTCACACGATTGTGAAGAGATTCATTATTTCCTAGACCTAATCTTTATTCTGTCAATATATAACTTTAAACAGTCAAGTGGCTACAAATTAGATTTGTGTTGAGAAATGAGATGTTGAGAAAGCAAGAAATGATTATGAGCCGTGAATAAAGCAGTTGACCAAAAATACCATGTTTTACCTGAAAGTCGTGCTAATGTCAAAAATTGAATTTTTACTCTTTCACAATAGACGGGAGTGAATCTTTCGTACCGAGAGGGATTTCACACAACATGTACTTCCAGATGTGTCCGGTTCAGCGTGAACTCCCTGTAACCAAGTCACTGTACGATCTCTAAGACTGTAAATGACGGTTTAGAGCACTTCAAGCATATATGGACCTTTAAGTGTGGAAACAGATGTAACAAATCAGGTTATTATGTCATATACTCGAAAGCTCGGTTTCATTTCTCTCAAGTTTAACGGGGTGAAGACTAGAGAAGCTTTCTCGTGCTGCTGTGGTGATGCCATTTGCGTTTGTTGCACAGTGAAAGAGGAAGAGAAGAGGAAGCTGCTGAAGAGGAGTAGTGAGCTGAAGAGTGAGCGTGCACAGCTGGAGGAAAGGGAGCAGCAGCTGAGTGATTCTCTGGCGGTACGATCCCCTGCCACAGCTCCATTAGAACCCAATAGGTGGTTTTCCTTTGGCACAAATGGCTGTTTTCCTTTGGCTTCCTTCCCCTAATCCTCTGTGGTGTTTGTGTTCAAAGAGGGAACACAAAAAGGAAAACGAGTAATGTAAAGTAGCAGTGTCAGTTTTTATTTTCACACGCATATTCTTTATTGTGTACCCCTTTAGTTGTTCTTACTTTTCTTAACTGTCCTTGAGTTTGTTAAACATCACAGCAGTACAGCCTTAAGGTAATGAAATATCTTTAGATTACAAAGTGCTCATACTCAGGCTCTTCTCCTGCAGAAATACGCCCTACTGTTTCAATGAAGTGAAAATGTGTTGTTCAGGAACAGAATGTGCAGAGGGCCTAGTGAAAGATTTTTACAACACAAAGTATTAATCCGGAAACAATATTTCTTGGCAGTTATATTATATTTCTTAGGACCTGAAACAGTGCATATGGATGTCCCTTCAGGTTTTTTTAATATTCTTTTCATTGCTATTTGTATTATAAAAAAAGACTGTATAGAGTGATATTGCTGCATTTTTAATGTTCTCATAGATTGTATGATTTAGTTTTGGTCTCGTAATCATAGAAATATGTCAAAGCAAAGCATTCAGTCGCAGGTTTTCAATGATTAAGAAGTACTTCTAACTTTCCTTCAACTTTCATACCAACAAAGTCTCAACACGGCCATTTCTTCTTCTCCACAGAAATGTGTAGATTTGAAAAACAGCCTTTTGGGAAAGCAGAAGGAAACTCAGTCTGCCTTGGATCGACTGAAGGCTTTGATCAGACTCATCCAGAGGGACCAGATGATTCAGGTGACCATGACTGCCACCACAACCACAGGGGCCGCCCTTCTCACCCTCCCCTGGATCAAACCTCCCAGCAGCGCAAGCTCGCCCTCTGCTGGTACTTCCGCGCATGTGCAGAAAGGTCTGTCTCAGTCCCAGGGCAACAACTGATCACCACCACCCCACACTGAGCCAACCTGCGACCTGCCAAATGCGCAGAACACCTTCCACATCTTCTTCAGAACAATAAACTTTTTTATAAGTCGGAATACCATAGAAACTTACGAAACAAATTTAAAACAAAAAAATATATAACCAATGCAGTTTTTGGAGATCTGCTGTGGCAAAATGATATCCCACAAGCAGTTTGTGATGAGTATTTTGTAAACCCAACACCTTCAGTGCTTACGAGATTTTTTTTATTATAATTGTTATTATTTATTAATATTCTTGGCCTTAATGTATTTATGAATTAAAAACAAAAAATGGCTGATATGGAAATACAATCTAGTATTGCATATGGCCAAAAAATAATGAAAAACCTAATAATGTTTTTTAAAGCAAAATTAGAGGAGAATAATGTTCAGCATATAGTAAGCAACAACACTAGCGATTAGTAGCAGTAGTTACAAAAGGTATTAAAATATAAAACTGAAAGAACATTTTCAACTGTACATTGATATATCTGAGTAGAATTGTTATTATTCTCTTATGAACAATGTTCGCCATATTTATTCAGGTGAAAGTGGGATGAGGAAACGCTTTCAGTGTGTATGTATGAATCTATTGAGCCTTCAAACAAAACAGAATAATTTTTCAGTATTATTGTTGAGAACTTTAAAGTATTTAAAATGACACTACAGAATTTACCATTTCTAGTTCAACATGAAGTATTTTCATGCTGATGCCTGGGAAGTGAAGTATTTAAAGGGGGATGGCTGTACAGATGTTGTATTACTGTTCTTGCTGGTTCTTGCTGTTACTTTTTTTAAATTAATTATTATTATTGAATCATATAAATGTGATGTTCTTGTTTCCAGTTGCACCCAAAAGTAGATTTTTTTTTACAAGGGCCATTTATTTTTAATATGGGTCTTTCATTTTTTGCTATTTTCTTGTTTTCTTTGCCAGTATAGAAAATATGCCAAAAAAACTTACATTTTTGTACTGGATTTGCTGTCTTGACTTCCTTCTTCTTTTTCTCATTTTTGCTTTTTTAAGGAAATGTAATATATGACTTCAACATTTTAGTGCTGAACAACCACTTGTTAAGAACTATATATATATACTGTATATCGGCTAGACAGTACAAACAACCACTGCCTCAAGTAGAATTTTTGAGGGTTCTTTGTTACTATATCAGTTTTTTACACAGACAAATAGAGACCTGATTACTTTCTTCTTGATGGGACAGTTTTGAGAGTGAACACTATTTAAATAGTTAGTCTTCCTGCTAAACAAAGGGACTGACTGGCCTCTCGATAGGTCTCAAGTCTGTTTTCCTTTCTATTTTGCAGGCATGTATTGCTAAAAAGCCTGTCAGTGTTACACCGGGCCTGTCTTGGCAGGGAGTGTTAAGACATCTAAAGTCGTAATGATTTCTGTTCTTTCTGGAATTGTTTAACAATATTGTTGGTTGATTTCTTGTTAATTTATTATGAAGACATGAAGGTAATGCAGTATCCCTTTTGGTGCAAAATAATGAAAAAAGTAAGATCCTGCCGTCTTGCGCAGGATCATTTTTCCCCTCCTGTGTGATTTTAGTTGTCTTTGAGAAGTCTGTATAGGAACACAGATATCACAAGAGAAAGAAATGCAGTGATCTTCTCCATCATGCTTCTGTTGCAAAAGCTTTGTCTGTCTGTCCCGTAGAAGTTGGAATGGACATTATAGATTCAAATAGACATTTGTATATACATCATTTTTTAAGAAGAATATTCGGATCTATAAACATCCACCCATTCCTTCAAATATACAGATAAATGGATAAAGAATTTATATTGAAATTAAAGCTATTGTGAGAAATCGATGCAGCTTTTCCTTAGAAAAGATAAGTGTAATGAGTCAAGTACTGTGGAGAAAACTGGAATATGCGCCAAGAATGAAGAGTTAACTCTTGAGTTATTTCAGACCATTATTTTGTGTTTGTACTGTTGTGGAAGCTGGCAGGTATGATTTATTGATAGGCTTCCTATCTTGAACAGCTGTAAAGTGAATTTAATCTTTTGGCTGATCAGTGCAAGTATAAAAGATATATAACGAGAGACATTAAAAACACAACAAGTGAGTATTGATTTGTTTAATTTTTAATGCCTCTTAGTATATATATATTTATCATATATTGCTGCACAGCATTCATTTTCGACCTTTTTTCTATAGAATTGTCTTTCTGAGCAGATAGAGTAGTTCTTGCTGTTAAATTGTTTCACTTCTCTAAACTACCAAACAATGGTAGTCTTTACTGCTTCTCTAATGGTAGTAATGATTGCCATTCCTGATACTTATCCCTGTCTGACAACAGATTCCACCAGAATGTAGCAATGCCAAGTATAGGAATATGTGTGAATGAGGTACTGTACATACACAGACATACACCTGGCCAGTACGTCACAGATATCCATTAGATTCAGTTTTTAACCACATATTGCATATATACCATTTTGTTTTAATTTTGCTTTGATAATTGTGATTTTCATATTACCCTGCTTTATATTTGGAAAGTGTTGTTAAAACACCTGGAAATCTGACTGGAATTCTACTAAGAAAGGGAAACTGCTTTAGAAGCTTTATTAATACCAAGAGGATGTAGAACGCTGGACACAACTTGCTGGCGTTTAAATTCAGTCATGAACTGACCTGGGTGACACCCTGTAGTAGGTGCAGTCAACTGAAATATTATGGGATGTGTGTGACAGAAGAAAATCACAGTCAGCTTAAACATAATCTGGGAGAGAAGGAGGTCAGGGTGTGAAAAAGCAGATGTGCTCACCTGTGTGTTGTGAGACAGGAACTCTTGGGTAGGTGCTGCACTGACTGCTAAGACATATTGCATTTCTTTAGAAGTTTATTTAGTTCTCATGTAGATCATTTGTTTATACAGCATCTCCTTCTTTATAACAGAAACATGACGTGATTGTTCCAGTGCTTGTGAGGAGTGAACCCACACAGAGTCAGTTACACCTAAGTCACATGCATACAATTAAAATAACTCCAAGTAAACAATTTCAGGTCAGATATGCAATAAATGAAATTAGATTAAATTAGAGGGACAACATACAATATACCTTAAGTAATGGCTACATCACTGCCAAAGAGAGCTAAGTACCTTGGCATTTTTGCATCGATCTCATTAAGTACCACTGAGAAACAATGCAAAGAAAGGGCGCATTAATTGAACACACAGGGTTATCTCTCAAAGCTTTACTGTCATTAAGCCATTACCCACAAAGACTTTTGTGGCACAGTAAATGAAGTAGGTTGTGGGTTTCTCTTCACAAAGATGTATTCCCCCCTTTGTTATGTTGCATTAAGACTTTACAGCTGATTGAATTAAAAGTGGAGTATGTGTAGACAAAAGTTACAGGTTTATATATAATGTTACAGAGCTTTAGAGGATTTCTGGTCTTCCAAAAGAAAAAAGTTTCTGGTTTAAGAGTGATAAATGTCTTAAAATGTGAAACCCTTTTTTTCCTGTGATTTCCATTTTGTGATACAACTTTCAAATCAAAATAACAGTTTTTGCTGAAAAGAACTTCATAAATATGTTATAAACACTTCTATTATAGCTATTTTACTCCCTCATTTTAATTGGTGTCTAACACACATTCATAGGCTTATTGATATGCTCATAATTAGGGATAACTGCATATATCCAGCAGGCACTACGTGACGTCTGCAGTGACAAATTACTCCCATATAAGACTTAAGACTATTCTACTGCAGAGAGGTTTGTCATTTTTTAACAGGACTGACTCTTACAGAAAGACTATTAAACTTTGTGCTGGACAATACATTTTCAACTGTGTTGCTTCTAGCACCTGTAAGCAGACACTGGTGCCGTGCACAAAGTGGAATCTGAATCCAAAGAATTGATCTATTTTTAAACAAAGAGAGAAAATCTTTACTTACCTGAGAGATTCCCAAAACCTACTGGAGAAAAAGTTCAGGAACAGCCTAGTCAGTGAGAAATGGGTTTAAGGAGCTTTCAGGCATAGCCTTTATGCTGTGCAAATCAGGCAGTATGTTTTTCATCACAATAGTATTTAATCATAGCAGTATTGCATAGTAATATTAAACCACAGTCCTGGATACTACTTTTTCTAGCCCATTGTAACAGAGTCCCAACAGATGGTGTAGGGACAGAGGCAAAGCTTATGTGGGGGATGCATTGGGTACTCAGCACATATCATTGATTCAAGGATGATTCAGGATGAACTGGCTTCTGTTTTGAATGCTTTGCCAGCAGTAGGGTCTCTTGACACAGTCCATCAAAGGGATACTGCATAGATTCCAAAAGTCAGACGTACTGAAGCGCTGGTTGCTGTGACATGAGGCGAGCCCATTCATCAATAAAAACAAAGTAACCATATCAGTGCTCCATGTCACAATGAGAATGTGCCCTGAAGCATCGTCTGTCTGAGGCCAGTTCTTAGCTCCATTTTCAGCATTCTCCGGGAGAAACTGTGCAGTACTATACAGATCTATTTTAATACACTTGACACTACGTTGAACAAAATTCTTTTATATTCTTTTATGAATGAACAAAGAAAAAAGGTAAAAAAAACATTTGAAATACTATGGTTATTGTTTGCCAATTATGCATTCTGACGTGGCTTGCAATGTTCAATGTATTTTTTGCCATGAAATGAAAAGTAGTGGAGGAGAAAGACATGGAATTAGATGACACTGAAAATTTAGATGAAAATGTCTTGGGACTGTTAAAGTAGTTTTTTTTATTTTTTATTTTGTTTTTAACTAAAAAGGGGACTGTCCAGTGGATAGTATGTATAGGAAAAAAAAAGTGTTTGTCTTACATATGCCAATGTAGTTTTTCTTCTTTATGATGCATTAAAATTGATTGATGGAAGTTGGTGACTGGTTAAGAGTAGTCTTACTTTTTTGTACCAAGTTCTTTAAAAAAATAAAAAAACGCCTTCGTTGGAAGATTTTGGAGTTTAAATGTGTGTGCTAAAAAAACACATTATTATCCACATTTTATCCCAGCTCGCTTTTTATTTTGAGAAACCATGTATTAAGGCTGCAACGAGCACAACTACAAAATCATTATTCAGTAAATTTGCCTTGCTTTTACATCTGTGCTTAGCATCCTGCTGTGAAATCTTTGCTCAGTTTGTCCTGTTTTGTCTTATCAAAACTAAACAATTTCAGCCACTGTAACAGATATTTGTGTGTGCAAACAAACACATTGCACACTTCTTCTCATAATCTTAACTCCTTGAAGAAAGATCTGAGGAAGGCCTTCAAACCGTGTGGAGAGGCGATGTCTGTTTTTACTTTTAAAGACATTTATAACTTTCCATGCTTTAGGTAAATGTAGACAAAACGTTGAACAGGTTATCAATGGAATCCCCTTACACAACAAACTTAAAATTGCTGTTTGTTTTTCATAAAACCAAAAGGAAAATAACAATTATCCCCGTCTGAGCAGCCCTAATCGGGTTTAAAGTCTTAGCTTCCATTTTCATTTATAAGTTGGCAAAACTGAATAGAAATCAGAACATGATACATGACCTACTGTACTTGTGCTGTCAGTCTAAATAATGTCATGTCATTTACCAAACCGCTTTATCCCATACGGTGTCATGGGAAGCCAGAGTCTACTAAGCAACAAGGGCAAGGCAGGGTAAGTGCAAGGCAATCCTACATGTAGACAATTTGAAGGCCACGGTAAAGGCCGAGGGGGGAAATTTGGCCTGGACACTGGGATAACTCCCTACTCTTATCAAGAAATGCCCAGGGATCTTTAATGACCACTGAGAGTCAGGACCTCGGTTTAACGTCTCATCCGACAGACGGCACCCACTACAGTAGAGTGTCCCTGTCATTAAACTGGGGCAGTAGGACCCACACAGACCGCAGGGTGAGCGCCCCCCGCTGGTCCCACTAACACCACTTCCAGCAGCAACCATAGGGTCCCAGGAGGTCTCCCATCCAGGCACTGACCAGGCTCAACCCTGCTTAGCTTCAAGGGGTAGTCAGTTGAGAGTTACAGAGTGATATGGCTGTTAGGCAGTCTAAAAATCATGTTGGACATAATTGCAAATAGTTTGATAGTGTTGACCGAATTTAAAAAGTAGATGTCTGCAGCTTTAAGCTTAGGGCTAGGTAATATCAAGGCTTCTAATCATTGACTGTTAAACAATAATATTTATTTTATATAGGAACAAGTAATAGGTTTATTCCATGCTGAAAAGAGAGAAAACAATGTTTCGGCTGTGAAGCCTTCTTCAGGTGTGAACACAACATTGTGTTTTTTCTCTTCACTTTTCAGCATGATATAAACCTACTGTGTACTTTTTCCTTCGCAAACTACTGTACGCATGCTGATGCAACTACCCACCTTATTTATTTGACAATATATAGTTTATTAAACAATTTCATAATACAAGGCACTTTACGGTAAAACAAAAAAAGACAGCTATACAAATTAATGCAGTGAATTAAACAGAACTAAAAGCAAGAGTATCTCACCAACTGCTCCTGACTGTTCTTCCATTAGCAACCGACAGGACAATTAGTAAAATCCAGAGGCCATTGCAGCCTGCTCAGATTTCAAAAGACATTTAATTCTTCTAGTACAGGGATTTTGAATTAAAAAAAATTAAAAATATGTTGACAGAAATAAATATCATGCATGATCTGTCATGGCAATTCATCCAGACCATAGTCTCACCTTGCTCCCTGTGCTTCTGGGATCAATACCGAACTTCCAAGATTCGTTCCAGGAATAGGCAGAAATCTGATAACGGACTGTTGTATGGAATAATGCATAGTACTTCCCAATAGACACATCCTTTTCTTGAATTAAGAGTGAAGTTCAGAGTTTACCGTTTGTTCATTTACTATACAGTATGTGGACACATTTCTACAATAACTTAATAATTCTGTGCTAACCTGAAATGTATGACTTTTATTTTTGTGCTTCCTAATTTAAAGTACGGTGCCCCGTAAAATAAAATCAGCACCTTTGACCCACACTACTGTGTAAATGTCCTAGACATTTTGCATTCTTCTAATTTTTCAATTTTTTTCTTTCTTTATGCAGAAACAATTTTATGGTATCAATTTTCTAATGAAAGTTTAGCCATTTTAAGATCATTTACAATCCTATTTACGTTTACCAGATCTGTATTTTTTTTTTTACAAAATCTAGCCTTATAGCTTTGATGATAATGATAATGATGAGGACATCTGACTCATTAATGACTCACCATGTAATATTGGCTGCTCATGTTTAGTTTACCTTGAGTTGCAGTGATCAGAATTTCAAAGATTCTGATAAAAGTGTTTTTGCCAAATAATAAATGTAGAATCGCTAAATGGCAAGCTTGATTTCTTTTCAACCAGACCCAGCTGTTGTAATAAGAGTTAATGTTGTTCTGATAGACAACTATTTGAGGCTTTCAGTAAATTACTGGTGTTCATAACAAACATTCTATAACACATATACATATACATTCTATAACACAACATATACAGTACATGTATTGTCATTGTGCCAAAGATGACTTCAGCACAGCAGAGTACACATAGTATAAGACACCTATTTGAGTTATTGGTGCAGGTGATAGCTTGCACACGAAATATCTCACATAGATCTGATAAAGCAAGGGAATTCAAAATAGAACCTGATACTTATTAGGTGCTCCTATGACATGTATTAGCACTAAATATATGGACATATCTGAAACACAAAAACTTCTTGTGTCAGACATGCATGAAATATTTAATGATGAAGCCGTATTATCCTGGCACCAACAGCCTAAACAGGAGTGCCATGTCTCATATATCCCTATCATGCAGCATATGCCAAAGGCACTCATGCTGCCAAGGCACTATAAGTGAGATTAGAAATACCCAATTTAACTTGATACCCCAGGTGAAGAACATACAGATTTATCTTCAAACTGAAGAACCCAAAGTCTGTGGGCTTGAAGCTGTAGTTTAGTCTTCCAGCCTTTTTTTAAAAAAAAAGATTTTCTAGACTCAAATTAAAGTTTCCACGTGCTCCCATTATTGGGCCAAAATGCCATCTTTGCAATCTTTTTTTTTCAGTCTATTCAATTTTAATGCTGCCTTATAGCAAGTGTTAACAATTTAGCTGAGTTTAACATTGACTTTATTCATCATTTCAATTTGGGCACAAACACCTGTCCATCCTCAAAGTACAACAGTGTGTATGTATGTGAACAGGTGGTATTGAGATGTGAACACAGCAGGGTGCACCAGCGTGTCCCATATTATGTTTTGAACAAAATGAGACATCACTGAAAGGGAGTGATATGTAACTTTGTTTGAGACGCATCCTCCAGTTTCACTTGCCAATTGGCAACGTCCTGGATAACCGAGAGTCTTTAGCCTCTTTTTATTGCACTGAACTGAATTGTCTGAGCCTGTGCTGGTGTAGCGTTCCTAATGCTGTGTGACGGTCTAGCTGTGCTTGTAATCCTCCGATGTGGAACCAGAAGGTAAGTGGGGAAAGACGGCAGTTATTAAGTCCTGTGCAACGCATACATTTGATGTCTTTGGTGACATAAAGTCGGTGTCCATTTGCCTCTGCCAGTGTTTTAATAACTAAGGCCTTCTTTGTAAGCAGTGTTAATACCAAGCTAGGTGGCTCTTGTTCCATATTTAAACAAAAGAGATGCAACATTCAGCAATATTAACCTCAAGTCCTGAGTCTTACTTTGTTTCCTTCATGGGGCGATTTCCTGTATTTGTCTGTACAGTAAGTGCTCTTATACTACTTTACATCATTACATGCTATATAATATTAAACTATGGACATTTAATATGCCATACAATATTTACAATACTGCTTTTTTATAACTTTTCAACTGTTTGAGAAATACAATAGATTTACATTTTAGTTAGAGAAAGTGAAATATTTCAAATAGTATAATAACCATCTTAATCCTTATACTTATATAGCACATTTCTGGACACAAATTCTATTTAATTTGTAAAGGAAATCTTTTCATGTTAACTGACAAATGTACTGATGTCACAATTTTTACACATCAGTACTGTCCTTTAGTGTCTAATATACAGTTATGGCCAAAGTGGAAATGACATTACTTTAATGCAATAATTTAAATGTTTCCTTATGGTGTGCAGAGGCAAGAATATTTATAGACAAACCTATTTACTGTATATAGAAATACCAAGACCATGCATACTTTGCTTTTGAACATATTAATCATTTTAAAATACCTTTAGGTTAGAAGGGATTAGATGAATTCAGTTTATTTCCCAAAAGTAAAAAAGCTATAAGCACCTGGCACTCCATGCATGCAATTTTACAGCAAATGCATTCATTTACTTCAAGGCAATCATTTACTGTGCTCATGTATATGAATCACTGGCAGGCTCACTTATGAAATTACTTCTTGATTTTATTTTGCTCCTCTAATACATGTACCATCTAACATGACATGGAACAATGTTATATTTAACTTCAGTGGTTGTTAGGCAAACATTTTCTAATAGCTGTTTTTTTTGCATGTGCTCAGTAAGGCAACTTCAGGGCATTTATAATAATAATTGCTTACACTTATATAGCTCTTTTCTGGACACTCCACTCAAAGCACTTTACAGGTAATGGGGACTCCCCTCCACCACCACCAATGTGCAACATCCACCTAGGACCCACATAGACCACAGGGTGTCACACATAGACCACCTGGATGATGTGATGGCAGCCATAGTGTGCCAGAACGTTCACCACCCATCAGCTATCAGTGAGGAGGAGAACAGAGATTTCTGATGTAGCCAATTCATAGATGGGGATTATAAGGAGGCCATGATTGGTAAAGGCTAATGGGAAATTTGATCAGGACGCCAAGGTTATACCTCTAAGCTTTTCGAGAAATGCCCTGGGATTTTTAATGACCACAGAGAGTCAGGACCTCAGTTTTCAATTATAATAATAATTAATACTTGCTTACACTTATATAGCGCTTTTCTGGACACTCCACTCAAAGCACTTTACAGGTAATGGGGACTCCCCTCCACCACCACCAATGTGCAGCATCCACCTAGGACCCACATAGACCACAGAGTGAGCACCCCCTGTTGGCCTCACTAACACCTCTTCCAGCAGCAACCTTTGTTTTTCCCCCATGAGGTCTCCCATCCAGGTACTGACCAGGCTCACACCTCCTTAGCTTCAGTGGGTTGCTAGTTGTGAATTGCAGGCTGCTGGCATTTCCATTAGAGATAAACAACACCTCATTTTGTGTGGAATGTTTGTGAATCTAAAGGGTCTATTAGATAGGAAAGGTGTGTTCTAGCCGACTCAAGTGGAAAATGGAGTGAAGCATAGACAATCTCATCATAATTCACATACATTCATTAATGGAATTCCTTTCTCCTTTTTAAAGACCTACTGTTCATAAAATGTTCAAGAAAGTCGATAGTATGTTAGTAAAGGTGAAGGGCTTTAGTAAATCCATCCATCCATCCATTTTCTTAATTGCTTTATCTTGTACTGGGTTATGGAGAATCGTAACCTAACCTGGCAAGTAACAGGCGCAAGGCAGGATACAGCCTGGATGGGTCACCAGTCTATTGGAGGGCACACACACTCACACCAGGGCCAATTTTTCCAGAAGCCAATTTCCCTAGCAGTATGTCTTTGGACTGTGGGAGGAAATCAGAGCACCTGGGAGAAGCCCACACGAACATGGAGAGAACATGCAAACCCCACGCTGATAGCACCCCATGGCCCCATTGCTGCAAGGCAGCAGTGCTAACCACTGTCCACCATGCCACCCGTATTTGTAAATGTTTGACTAAAACAAGTACTGCGTATCGAGCAATCACAGCAGATGTGTCAGATTCTAGTGAAAATATGAAGCTATGTAATATTACATTTTGAACTCCAGAACTTGATTTATTGTTAATAAATGACTGAAAAGGAGACAGGGAGAGCAACAGATTATATTAGACTAGCAAGATACAAGAGGCTTTAATGTTGAATGTTGTTACTTGAAGACAAATTATGTGGGGATCAGGTGCTCATTTTCCCAAAGTAGCTCATTTCCAGTGTTTCATCAGGTCTTGGTGAAGTAAAAGTGCCCTGGATTATTTTGGTTTTGGGTGGGATCTGTGTATCCAGATGTCAAGGAGAAAAAAGGCTACTCTTTATTTTATGTGGGATATGATACATACTTCTCATTCTTCACAGAGATGAAAGGACTGTCATAATCTCTGGAATGGATTGGCCAATTACTAGACTACAATCTTATCAAACATTTGTTGACAAATATTGACCATTGACTCACCTCCAAGCTGTCCTTAGTACAGAGCAGGATTTATAATTGTGTCTGCAAAAATGCTATATACATTGATCACTAATTGAAAAGTAAATGAATAAGGCTTTTTCATTGACGTTTCAGTTTTACCATTGTTTTTTTCTTCCTGGTATAGCCTTAGAATGCAGCATTTTGTAGTCACATTAACCATTCACCACGCTTGAACATTCACCATCTTTAATGTCTGGGCAGCAAAAGACCACATGAAATGTAGCATGTCTGTTTCTTGGAAGATAGTATTAAAACCCTATGGTTTTTGTAAACATACTTCTTGAAGAAAAAAAATGTTTGAAAACCATTTCTGAAAAACTCCACAGCTGCCGAAAGCCGCATAGAAACCAGTACCACAGAGAAAACATATTTCCACTTCATGTCGGAAAATTTTATTTTATGTGATATGTGCCACTTTGAACTGTACATCATCTGTACACAGGAAATACGCCCTGCTGCAGCCAAACAGTCCAAAGTGAAGAACAAAAACAATAGTGTGTTGCAAAAATACTCTCCCCATGGATGACCGTTTTGTGAAATCACAAAATGAGGTTTACACATTACTTATAACTTAATATTTTATTCAAAACCTGGATGCACAAACTAAAGACTTCTAAGGGTGAGATACGTTACAGAAAGTGTCAGCAAAAACTCAAAACCCAAAAAGCAAAATGTATTGATTGCATAAGTACTCAGATGTGCAAACTATGTGGTGGAAGCGCTTTTGGCAACAATTTCCGCCACCACTTCAAACTTTGTACACCGTCTTGGTGGTGACTGTGCCCATTCCTTCTTGGCAGATTTGCCCAAGCTCTGAAGTTGCTTGGGGATCACTAACGGACAGCAGTGTCCAAGTCTTTCCACAGATTCTCAACAGGACTGAAGTGAGAATTTTGACGTGGCCACTAAAGAACACTCACTTTCTAATTTTTAAGCCAATAGGTGGGAGCTTTGGGTCACTATCCTGCATAAAGGTGAAATTCTGTCTTAGTTTTAAACCTGAATTAGGTTTTCCTTAAGATCTGCAAGTACTTTGCACCATCTATGTACCCATCAGGCTTTCCAAGTTTTAAAGTCCCTGTTAATCCAGCAGTAGCATTAAAATGTGATGCAGCCACCAACATGCTTTACAGTAGGGATTGTGTGGACTGAATGGTGTGCTATTTTGTGTTTGCGATGACATTTCTGATTTAATTTGTTGCAGACTCCATGCGGGATTTGAGATGTGTTTACTGCTCTGCCATACAGGGCAGCTTTGTTCATGAATCATGCTCATTTTCTCAAATCTCAGTCACAGACCCCTGGAGCCCTTTGAAAGTCACAATTGGCCTCATAGTTGCATCCCTGAATAATTTCCTCCTTGCCCAGCTGCTCAATTAGGAGAAACAGCCAGATCTAGGCAGAGTCTGGGTGGTACCATGCAACTTCACTTGCAGTGATTGACTTCACATGCTCAAAGGGATATTCAGTGTTTTATGAATGGCTCGGCACCTCAGTACCTGTCTATTACCGCCCTACTCCCCACCTCGCAACCTCCGCTCTTCAAATTCTGCCCTCCTTACTGTCCCCCAAGCCCGTCTACATTGTATGGGTGACAGGGCCTTCTCCTGTTATGCCCCCAAGCTCTGGAACTCTTTGCCCAAGGATATCAGAGAGTCACCTTCTCTAAACTCCTTCAAATCCAGACTCAAAACCCTCTTCTTCAGAAAGGCCTTTACTTAACTGGTTCCATTCTTCACCCCTCTGCTCTTCTTAGTACCACCATCCACGGTCTCCTCTATATATTGTAATTGTGTCTTATCTTGTGTATTCTCATTATTTATTGTTATACTCTTCTTATTTATTGTTATTTCATCCTGTAAAGCGCTATGAGAAGCCAACTTTAAAGGCGCTATATAAAATAAAGTTTATTATTATATTATTATTATATTTTTATACCTTTCTTCTGACCTATTACCTTCTAGAGCTTTATCTCAGAGTTGTTTTAAATCTCCATGGTGTTTATGGTTGAAGCATTAATAGAAATGCCTTATCTCACCGACGGAACTTACAGAGACAGGTTATTATTGTACTCAACTGATTGTGTGGCTGCTTTAGGTAATTACGTCCGCCTAAATTAATTTAGGTTTGCCACAACAAAGGTTTTGAATACTAATGCAAACAAGACTTTTCCATTTTTCTTCTGCATTAATCACTTCTTTGTGTTTGTTGCAGTAAATGTGTATTGTGGTTGTGTATATAACCAATATTAATTGCTGCCCGACTGCCAGCTGTAAAGCAACACAAAGTGAAAAACTTGGAAAGGGTCCCGGTATTTTGCAAGGCACTGTATATACTGTAAGAAGAAATCAATGTACCTCTTCCTTTTGGGTTTAAAATAGGGGTTCTGTACAGCTGAAAAATACAGGGTTAGTCAAAATGCTGTCGACAACTATAAATGCCAATTATTTTACTAAAGTTTTGTTTTCTGGTCCACAGATGGTGAAGGATTGTAAGGAACTGTTAGAGACTTTGACAGTTTATTACAAATTAATTACATGGTTACTGTGTCAAAAAAGGTTTCAAACGAAAGCATAAATATCAAAGCTGTTGACAGCATTTTGACTAACCCTGTACACTGAAGTCAAATGTATGTCCCAAGATACCAATCATCCACACATCTTTATGGCATATAGGACATACAGTATATGTTCTGAGTTAATCCACAGATTTCCTTCATTTCCTCTGAGCTGAATTCTTTTATTTTTAGGGTATGACTCCTCTGCAGCTGCTAGGTCAGGGTAGTACCTGATTTGGTGGTGAGCGAGTGCTGAAGACAGTGTGGTAGTGTTCAATGAGAATCTCTGTGAATATGTTCAGGGGGTTCAGTTCACTCAGGGAGACAGATCCTTGTGGAGGCCAGATCAGATTCACTCCTAACACGCAGGCAAGGTTGGAAGGATTCATCTTGTTTCTGATGCTCTCCTGTGATATCTGTCAACAGAAAAGGTAAAGGATCTCAGAAGGAGGCAAATTACTGAAAAATGTCCAAAAGTAACCATAAAATTATCAGTCCAGAAATCTGAAGTGGCCTCAAAAATGACAAGCTTAATAGGATATAAATGCTAAGTCTGGGTTGAAACATCATTCTATATCAACACAAGGCCATTCTCACTGTAATTTGTTTTTAATTTAATCCATCCACCTCATTTCCAACCGTTCACTCCTGGTGAGAGTCGTGTCCCAGGCTATCTCAGCGGGCAGTGCCTGGTTCAACTCCAACAGTAGGCACCAGGGGGGCATCCTCACCAGAGGCCCAAACCACAACTGGCTCCTCTCGATCCAGAGGAACAGCAACTTTATTCCTAGATCCTCCCAGTCTGCTGAGCTCCTCCCCCTGTCTCAGGCAGAGAGGACGCCCAGCAGCCCTACAGAGAAACCTCCACTTATACCCAAGATCTCATTCTGTCAGTCACTACCCCATGCTTGTGACATATTTAAATCAAGAATTCCAAATGCAATGTGTGGCTCAAATTGTATTTGTCTAAATGTTCAAAATTTGACTTATTTAAAGAAATTACAATGCATGAGACAGGTTTCTTTTGAGTTTTGCAAATTTGAGAAATCAGAAATTTAAAAAAATTTGGAAATCATAGTAGAATGCTACCTAAAAATGTTCATTAATGTACCATTCAGAGAGAATCTGGATCTAGGTTTTTTAAAGGTTTTCTTAGGTAAACAAAATCCATTAGTGCTAATTATACAATTACAAAACATAAAGGTAAAAACATTTTCCAGTAAAAGTATCTGTACATCGATAAAGAAGATGGCAAAACAGTTTGACTACATTTTCTTGAAAACAGTGCCGCCCAGTGGTCCTTTAAACTGGAGTTTCTAAAAGATGATGCTTTACACAAACAGCTCCTAAAAGCGAAAAAAAAACCCACTAAGCTAACACTCAGAATATTTTCATGAAAGGAATTACACGCCTAATATGATGCTAATTTTAATTTTTCTACATTGATTTAATTTTAATATCAAAATTTTGTTTTTTGTCCGTTTCTTGTTCCTTCTTTGCTTGTATGTTTCATTTCTATAAAAACTTTGAACTTCATCTAGTCTTTAGACCTCCTAAAAAGTCTGCTAACGTAAATACAGTTTTGCTTCAAAACACAAGGGGGGAGGTTGTCTGGGAATGGCTACGTCACGCTCGCCTTTCCTGGCTCAGCGATGCCTGATGCCTGCCTCGCTGTTATGTGGCCACATCGGTGTTTGGTGTATCTTTGGTTTCCCTCACTGTAAATAAAAGAGCGCCGTTTTTCAATCTCATGGCTTTGTGTGTGTCTGTTGTCCTGGTCTGGACTAGTTACGGCACGCCCAATAGGCAGTCACACAGCGTGGTAGATAGATTTTGTGCTTAGCCTTTCTAGAATGTTAAGAGAAATGCAGAAAAATTCAAGCTTGAAATCACATTCCTCTTCAGTGTCAGCAGAACAAAACGTGGCTGTAGTTAAAAAAATCACAATTTTGCTTGCACTAAAAAAACTATTCCGATGTTGAAAGAATGGCAGAGAACACTAAAATCTTATACCTTGCTGATGGAGCAATCCAGGAATATACTTAAATTGAGAAAATACAGGGGGACTGAAATCTTAGCACAATTGTGCTTCTTTCCTGTACAGTTAACGAGGTAAATTAATTTTGCATTGTGTTTTAATTTTCTACTTGGTTTGATTGAAGATATTAGGATACCGCATGTAAAGGAAATTAAATGCACGGTGATTTCAAGACCAAGCACATTAACACCCTCCAAACTATTATCCTTTTAGCATGTATGGAAGCTAACAGCCATGTAACTCTTATTCATGCAATCATGATATTTTGTGTTGAGATTTTATATGATCATTATTTGATTTTTTCTGTTTATTTGTACACCAAATAACACTAATCTGTTTTTGTTCTAGTAGACTTGGGTTATGAGGTCTTATAGAATGCAGGTGCTGCAACACATTTGTAGAAATCTCTCATTTGTCAGGTGTAAGAAAACATTTTTTCAGCCATTCTGTTTATACTGTAGAGCCTTCATTAACATGGAGTCAGGGATGAAATAATGGTTTAATTTTTAAAGACATTATTTCACATTTTATTGTTTTTATTCTACTCTTTAGATCTATGGTGCCATCATTTTTGTAATATTCAAGATATTAAAGTTATACTGTATATATAAAGTTTACAATTTGAGAGGTGTGCTAATCAGCAATGAGAAAGCTTTTTAGAGCTGTAAATATGTCATCATGAGATTACTTGAAACAAGATTTCACATGTTTGGGCATTGTCAATTGCAAATAACTGGTTATGTGTGTTTATACTATATTCCAATTAATTCAGATAGCCATCTAATTCAGCCTTTGGGGAAAATACATTTTTTTCACTGTAATGATTCAATTAACATAGGGTTCTTTTACACAGAGAACACAAAGAAAAATTCAGCAACACTAATGTTTTAACTTCTCACAAAGAACAAGCAATTAATCTTTCAGTGTCTGACCTGATATGTCATGTTTCCTACAAAATTTTGTTTTTGTGAAATGGAACTGATTTAGATCAAAAGGAGCACGTCTTCATGAATTGCTTTATGAGAGAATACTCTGGCTAACTCACAGGCATGCCAATGTTTTCTGAAGGCTTATTTGTTACAGTCTTCAAGAACAATCCACAGCAAAAACCAGTTACATATACAAAAATGATCAGACTCACAACACTAAAGATAACAGTGAATGTAATGTAATGATGGTAACGTTCTATTTTGTTTCTTAAACGATCCATATGCGTCTATCAGTATACAATCAGTCTGTCTCAGTATATATTATGCAACTTATATGATGATGCTGATGAGTAGGCCTTGCTATATTAACCATATTGTTTGTGATGGGTTTATGAACTTAGAAAACAACCTAGCTAAGCAAGACCTACCCATCACCATTATCATATAAACTTCATAAAAGTCATTAAACATCATAAAACTCCAGAGTTTTTATACATTAACACATTAACTTAGGATCATTAACATACAGTAGCAACACATCAGCTTAGATTTGTTTCTAGGAGAACGTAGTTCCCAAATGCTACTCCCAAAGGCATAAAACAAATATCAGAATATCAGAGTTTAACAACAAACTTCTATAGTTCTACAAAAAACAATAGTTGTAAAGGATATAAACAAAACATATGATACAGAACATTTTCAAAAGACTTTTGATCAATTATTTGAAAGCTACAGGCAATAGGTATCCCATACTTATACAGTATATTGGATAATGGACAGAAATACTGTATAAAGGGAAGGTGTAAATGTTCAAATTGGGGTGATATAACTTGCTAAGTACCACAGGGATCAGTATTAGCACAACAAGACAGCTACTCTTTCTGATTTATATGATTGGTTTAGATTAAAATAGGGAGATTAGCAACATGTACAAGTAAGTGTATCATGCAACAGGTAGATGACTTTTAATTTAAAAAAGAGCAGGATGTTGCATGCAGGTAGCAAAAACAAAGTATAAATATAAAATATGTACTGTAGCACTGAGCTTGAAGGGGCTATTTAGGAGAAATATATTTTTTGAATAAACATAATTTGTATCTTCTATACACTAAAGAGAGGCAATTAAAAAGTGAACAGAGAACAGAAGACTGTAATTCCAAGACTTCCAATTGTACAATTGTAAGAATTTAAAGTAGTGTAGAACTTTCGTTACCGTGTTACAAGAACGATATCACTACTTGGAAGGCAGTCCAGAGACTAGATATCGGATACATTCTGGGGCTCAAGGAGAAGTCCTACACCGACAGGCTGAAGAAACTCAACCTTTTTAGTCTTAACCAGAGAACACTAAAATGAGATGATTCAAGTATCAAAATCCTTAAGGGCACTGAAAAACCCTGCATACTTATTCAAAATAAATAGTGAGACATGAAGCAGATGACACAAATGAAATACATTTGGAACAACAAAAACAGGGGCCATTTTATAAACAAAGGGTTGTTGGAATGTGGAATAAGCTAACCAAGCATGTTGCTGAAGCCAATCCAGTGGCGTCTTCTAAGAAACTGCTGAACTAAACCCTTGGATCACTTGGATACTAACTTAACCACCAAATAAGCCAGATGGACTGAATGCCCTCCTCTCATTTACAAAGCCTCTTATGCTCCATTATGTAAGTTGATTGAAAGAGATTGCTGATTCACTGGTTTTGTTACATCCATTGTCTGCAAGTGACATATCAGTAATGCACAAAAGTAAAAACATTTCTATATAAACACAAACTCAACAGGTGTGTTGCTGTAACTTAATGTTGTGTGCTATTGCAAAGCACTATAACTTTGGCTCACCTTTCCTTCCTCATCTCCCTTACAGAAAAATCAAGTATAATGATAGTGAGATGAAAGAGCTTTCATGGGTTTTAGTTCACTCCACTGTCTTGAAACAATTTATTTCAAAATACAATGAAAGCATTTTAACATTGACAACATTGTGTTTCACACTCTTCTTTCTGCTATAATTATCTGGCACAGGGTTTCCAAGATCACTAGACAATTTATTTTTACACGTCTAGAGGGCAATTTGAAAGTGTTACATTTAAGGCTCCACGTTCTAAGCAACTCTCTTCTAATTAAACATTTAATTCTCCAGTAACAATGTAATGTTTGATGGAGTGAGAATAATGAATCATAAAATGGAAGCCAAATAACTTTCTGTTAAAGAAAAGCTGAAAGATTTTTGAAGCTGAAAGAATTAATTCAGGACCATAACACAGACATGGTTATGTTAACTGTTAAGACTTTGGCATACCAAAATCAACAATCTGAAATATACAAAAGAAGAAAGAAACCAGAGGTATAATTACCAGTCAGCCAATAAAACATCTGTAGTTGATGACAGAAAAAAATATCAGAGCTGTCAAGTAAAACCCTACAAGCACTGTGGGTGATTTCACCAAGTACCTTCAGAGAACCAGAGGCGAGCATTGCAAATCTACAGATTACAGACATTTTACAGATAGGCGAGACCAAAATTAACCTTTATCAAAGGGATGGAAACGCTAAAGTGTGGGGAAGGAAAGTAATTGCAGATGTTCCAAAGAACACTGCTGCTTGAGTCATGGTGGAGGTAATGTCACGGCCACCTCTGGGACAGGCTCACTCAACTTTAAACTAATGATGGCAGCATTTTGGAGGAGACCATATTTTATTTGAGGTTTTATAAAATCCATTTCATTTTAAACATAGCTATTTAATTTAACCAACTTGTTAAACTTTCTGTTGTGCATAGTCTTAGTAATTACCTTTATCTCTTCGATCAGTCACTTCTGAACCTAACCAGTCTGGGGGGGAAGGAGGGTTATAGAAGCCTAAATTCATATATACATATATGATAGGGAATCTCTTGGTTTAACATTGATTGTTTCCACAGCAGACATTGAACACTGAATATTGGTGAGTCCTGTTTTCAAGTTTGTTTGTTGTTGAGGCCTATGTCAGCAGGGTTCTGCAGAGTGTGCATGTAGTACTATTAAAACAAACTACACAGAAAATGATAACACATCCCATCAAATTTAACCTCTTTGCCCTTCACAGTACTTTGCAGTGTGGTTGTGCTGCCTCTTCTTGCTCTTAATCTAAGCGCACAGATGTAATTACACAATGATGCAGGAATGAATGTAAATCAGAGATCAGAGATGAGTTTAGTTGTGACAGAAGCGGCCATTTCTGGAGACCCAAGTCAATGTGTATTTCCCACAGTGCCCTGAATTACATCAGTGTTGCAGAGGGTTTTATAGACTGAGTCCAGCCAGTCTGACCACCCTGTGTCATTACCATGAATGGGTTTTTGAAGTACCATTAACAACATACTGCTGCTTATGGCCCAGTGGTTATTCCTGATGATGTTCCCCGTTTTTCATCTCTTTCTGAGATACCACATACAATAGCAAGTGTCTGTTTAAAACTCACTCAAGGGAGGTGAGGAGTAATAACCCTAGACCAGTGTCAGATTATTATTGCATATTCCTGCAGTGCTCTTTTTACCTACAGTACCATCCTGCAGACATTTTAAAAAATAAATGTTTACAGAAATAAGTCAGGCAGAAATATTAGGCTAAAAACAGAATAAACCATAAAACTATTAAACATCAAAACTCTTCAGCTGATCAAGTACTAATGATATGGTCACATCTATCTCCAACTGTAAAAATAGTTGAAAATGAAAACCTGTATTTTGGGCAAATTTACTAAAGGCGGGTCATGCATAGAAATAAAAAAAAAGAAAAACTTGATGAGGCACTCTGGAGTATAGTTTTGATAGATACAATCAGTAATATCATACAATAACACACAATGTGGCACAAAACCATGGTACCTCAATGCTAAAGGTTTAAGATGAGAAGTTTGTTTATGAAAGTCTTTGGTATACTTACCTGTAACTACACAATCGTAAGCCACTGTGCATATTTAGAAACACAAACCATTCACTGTAACACATTCGAATGAATCAATTTTCTTGTGCTTGTGCGGAGTTAAAAAAAAACATGATCCTTTGCCATGGACAAAATTACACTTACCATGTGCAGGAAGCATATAAGGTACTTGAGCACTATAAAGTTATGTTCTGGCAGACTCTCTATGATGTCTTTGCATGCTTTTACTCGCAGACTGCTCTCCACTCCTGCAATAGAGGGGGGAAAAACACTAAACCAGAAAAACATATTCACTGGTGTTCACCTATCTCAGCATTACTCATTATCTCAGCATTACCCGATATCACATTGCCTCTTATTCAGGTAAGGGTGTCACAGAGTCTACTGTGAATTGGCTGGTGGTGGAGGGGAGTCCCCATTACCTGTAAAGAGCTTTGAGTGGTGTGTCCAGAAAAAGCGCTATATAAGTGTAAGCAATTATTATTATTATTATTATTACTGCAAATTCTTAGTGTGAAAGGCAGGACTACACACTGTACCGGATGCCTGTCCATTGCAAGACATTAAAACACAGGAAGAACTTAGAGACGCTAATTAACCTAATGAGTCTTTGGAAAGTGCAAGGAAAACAGAGCGATACAGGTGGCTCTGGCCAAAGAGATTTTGCATCCTTTTAGCAGTACTTAAATAAAATGCCAGGGCAGGACCTCAACTGACTCACAACGAGTATAGTTTCCTTGCAACCAGTGCAATGAAAAACATCCTCACAGTTTTCTTAAAGTGACGACACAATTGTAACTACTGCAATTTTACTTTTCGCCATGGTACTGTAACTGTGCTGGGCAGTATAAATATTGCTCTTTTCAAATCTAAACTGAAGAACTTAAATGAGTGCAACATCTAAAATCGAAAGTGTTTGCATTCCAAGACAAATCTTGTCTCTTTAAAAAGATTAAAATTAATCTTTAAAAATTTGTTTGATTATGATTTATAGAACATATACAGTACAGTGTTTTTCATCTCAAAGGACCATAAAACACCTTACATACTGCATGTGAGTCCCTTCTTTCACCACATTATGCACCAGAAACAGTCCAGAGCAGGGCCGGCGGGGATGTGAGAGACTGCTTCAGCTAGTAAACTACAGAAGGAATTCCAGAAGGTAAGCCAGACTGTGCAAGACTGAAGTGGGGTTAAAAGAGTGCAGCAGGATAACAGCCCTATTCTCACAAATAATACCATGGTAGGCTCCAAAAAAAGAGGAGGCCATTTCATTACCCTTGCCAAATCTATGTGGCTGATTGATCTGAGGATTTCTTCCGGTCTTTTCTATAAAGAAGCCAAGGCTTCGGCTTTAAAAGTGTGTCTGGGCAACGTGATCAAATCAACTACAATACTTTGTGCGAAAACGTTTATCTTATTCTCAGTTCGGAATGTCTACCAACACCACTTACAGCAGCATCCAGGTCTTGTTAGAAGTCTCACATCCAACTATTGATCATGTCCACCTCGTCTTTGCTTCCAAGAGCAGGCTAGAATGTGGCAACATCAAAATGGTTGCCTTTATAGTCTATTTAATAAGGTCTCTTTGAGGAAAAATAGTATTCCCTTATTAGCAAGTTCAGAACAAAAAATGTGCTTTATTTACCCCCAAAGGCATTCCACTAGACAGGACAGCTTTTCATAACGAAGGAAAAAAACAAATATTCTTTGACAGGTCTTGGCTTGCATTATCTAACACTGTTCATGCTGAGATCTTGTTTTACTGTACCAAGGATTCTAATTGGCAAAGTATCCACTTAATTACCAGAGCTTATATCAACGTGTGAATGTAGTAAACAATATGTATTGTAGCCCACAGATGAGCACCATAGATGAACAACCAAACACGTGCATGGGCTCAGTCCCACATTCCAGAAATCCTAGTATGCTCAGCAGGGATTTTATAATAGGATCCTAGGTAGAGCAGCCATAATTATTTATGATGTTGCCAGTATGGCATTATGCCAGAAACACATGCAGAACATGTTTTTGGAAAGAGGCCTTTTTGGAGGATATGTGGCTGTCAAATGTCCATAAACATTTAAATGCTACAATCCGTCATCCAAGGTCAACAACCACATATTCGGAAGCTGGCAGCCTATTCAAAGTGAAAACCCCCTTCAAGTGGTCTCAAATACTATGATTTTTGGCACTTTAACTTAAGTTGGATAGGATAGACTTTCCTTAAGCCTGACCAGTTTATCTGAAGCCAGAAGATAAAGTTACAAGAAAAGGAAAGACCTTGAAATTTCATTTTCTATTTTCGAATGTCGCAGAACCTTACAGTATATGGACATGGCCTTTTGATATGTTAACAGGATAATACATTCTGATGCATGTGAAAATCATGGGAAATGAAGGCATGAAATGTACATCACTGCTACCGTGATGTACACCTAGAGACTCAGCAGGGCTGCAGCTGATCAGAGTTTAAGCCATACTACAAGTGCCCGAAAAACACACTACTGCCAGCAACAGAAACCTTTTGAAAAAATCCTCCTCCCTACTTACTGATTATATCTTGGATTTGCTCATAGAGTTCAAAGGTGAGCAGCGGCTCAGGCAGCTCTCGTAGGAAGGTTTTCAGGATGACAGCAGGGACGTGGATGTCGTTGTAGTCATCAAAGTTCACAGGCTTTCCTGATGAGAAGAGGCGGCAGTACATCTTTACAAAAACACTGGCAGTGTGCAGCCCCTTGCACTTCAACGTGACCATTTTCTACTCGACATCTAATGCACAGCACTACACTTCTCCTTCAATGCAGCCCATGAAAAAAAATCTCTTTAGCAATCAGCTACAGCGGAAACGCAGAGAGATGAATGAAATACAAGTAACAGCGCTTAATCACAGGCACTGGTGGGTAGGAAGCAGTTCAAATATTCACATCCTGGGTTTTTATCAATCTCCGTGTTCTTTTATCGATTTAAATAAACTGGTGTTACTATAAATGAAGTTGCCAGTGAAAAGGCGATGAACAGAATACTCACCTACATTGTACAGTTTCTGAATGTCTTTAACAAGCTGGACTCTGGCTGACCTTCTAAAAATGCCCTCTGTGTAAAGCCCTAGCAACACAAGATTGAATCAATTACACATCCTGAAGCCAAGAGCAGCCAGTAAATCTAACAGACTTCACAAAGATCCTATTTTCTCAGTTTTAACCACAGGTGTCCAAAGTGAAATCCTCAAGCTGACAAAATTATGCAGACTGTGTCCTAAGCAGCTCTGTTCTCATCCTACACTCAGCTCACAGTTAACATCTGTCAGTACATCCTCATAGGGAAATCTCTCTAGTATAAAGCCCATCTTTTGAGAGTGGTCTTTAAATTACGGTGGATAGAAACATTTTTATTCACGCAAGGTTTTGTAATTTGATCTATCACAATACTGTAGATCACTATATCAAAAACAGAACTGTAGAGAATAGCAATGAAATATTTAAATATTTTTTTAATTGGCTTTTAAAAAAAATATTGCTTGGCAAAACTAAGAAGAAATACTGAAAATGCTTGAGAAAATAATTATACATAAACAAAACAAAGTTGTATTACAGTTCATGAAGTTGAATTCTGCAGTGGAATTGAAATCAGGCAATTCCATTAAAGTAGTACCCTGTGTTTCTGGGGTTTTTTAAACAATTTCACTGCATCACAATAATGTTTTTGAAGAAAAATCTCCCATCAACACTCTACCTTTCTCTCGAATATAGGACACAGTTTGAGACATCACTGGGGGGATTAACAGTCCTTTGTTTTTCTCTCGAATGCTGGAGAGAACAAAATAAATGATATTTGTCATTGAATAATTGATCACAATCAATTTACCATTTATGCACACTAGACCAAAGCACAGGTGATGCACAACAGGTGTTATTTGATCTCTTCCCCTTCACCATCTGAGAATCCTGAGCAGAAATGTTGAATGTGAAAGGGCAGAGTTCCTGAGCATCTACTCAGCAAATGGTTACAGCATATTCAGGCTAACTATACCAGAATTAGCTACCAGACCAGTGGCTCACCAGTGAAAATCAGAATTTCAGCACATTTGTTATCTTTCAATGTCAGTGAATAAGGCATTAAATCAATATCACAGAATCTTAAAAGTTATCAAAAAGCATCACCTATTTCAGACAAGATTTGACCCTTCTGTGACACAAAATGTATATCCCTGCCTACATCTCCCAATTTAATGAGTTGATAAAGAATAAAGTATTTCTAGCATCCCACTCAAACACAATTTTAACAAAGTAAGACATACCAACTAGTTTAATTTAGGTAACAATGAGAAAAACATTATTACCATTAAGACAAAAAACAAAAACAATTGTAGAATTGTAGAACTAACTCATTCTGGGATTTTGATCCCTAAAAAAATCAAAACAGGTCTTCGATTAAATCCTGTAAACCCAAACCGTCAGAAGAGATCCATACTCACTACTGCAGGCTCACCGCGAACTGCTGTGTGGGGAGAGGTGGCCGAGGGGGGGGCGTCTTTATAGGAGGTGGAGGACCTCCTCTCTGTGCAGCTCTCAGCTTCTCATCATGTCTGTGAGACACAAGAATACACAGGGCTGCCACACAAAGCCAAGGACACAAAGAAGACCAGGTGCAAGTGCAAGAAAGAACAGTACGTTTCTGATGCAGCAGGAGATGCTTCCATCTTCTAGGACACAAGAGTAAAATGCAAGAGGCTAAAGTGAACTTTTTTGAAAAACTGGAACTGTTGCTACTGTAAATATGTACTATATACTGTACAAAATACATAAATAATGCCGTAAAAAGAGAATGGAAACTATTTTTAGTGACATAAAAAAGAGAGTAGTTCAAAAGGAGAGCCGCAGACTGTGCTCAGAGCCAGAAAGAGAAAAATCTGGAGGAGGACATACAGAGAAGCATCTGCTCCTATAGAGCAACTGAAACAGCAGTAGAAGGCTCTAAGTTTAGGAGGGTTTCCGAAAGAGCAGTGGTTAAACTCATCAATAGGAACTGTGGGCCTCTGTGACCGAAGAGAAGGGCTTGAGAGAATATGGGGTACAAGAGGCAAATCAAACTCACAGAAGGACTCTTCTACCAAGACATCCAGGGTGCTAGAGAGAGGAGCTGTTTCTTTAAGGCAGCTGGCCCATTAGTAGAGCGACAGGCATGGAGCTGCCACTGCGGGCGGAGGCCTGTGGCTCACAGGAGGAGAAGCACAGCATGCGAAATGAGTGGAGAGGTCTGATGGTGATGATGGTACTGGTGGCAACTCACGGGCTAGACAGAGGAAGATACGGCCTTTCCGTAGTCTGGCCATACCACAGCTTCAGGAAAGAATCGTGGAGCGAGAATCCCAGAGAAAAGGATACAGAAAATCCCAGAGAAACATAGGAAAGGATATAACTTGAACTTGAACTGTATTGCCATATGTAACCGGTACTGGTACAATGGAATTCTTACTTACAGAAAGTCTCTCGATTGTAAAACAAGTGTAAAAAACAAAACAAAGTGCAAACAGTGCATTAAGACAATGTACAAACAAACAATAGACAATGTGCAAGTAAACATGTAGACAGTTTGAATGTAAACAATCCAGACGTGTAAACAATGACTGGAGATGTGCAATAGATAAGAATCATAACGAGGTAGATGGTGATGGTGTAGGTGTGGTCCGAGGAGCATGGCTAAATGTGTTCGCCAGTCTCACTGCTTGTGGATAGAAGCTATTGAAGAATCTAGTGGTAAG